GCAAGCCATAGTTCTGGCACAGCTGTTCTTGAAAAAGAGCAGTTTTTGTCAGAGCTCTCTCAGCCCTACCTACTTCACATGGTGTCGGTCGTGGGGAGGGGAAGGGAAAGGAGTTTGTAAGCCGCTCTGAGACTCCCTTGGGTAGTGAAGGGCAGGGTATAAATCCAATCTCTTCTTCTTCTTCTTCTGATCTGTCTCTGTTGAAATCATTGCTCTGTATAATTTCCCTCTTTCTCGTCAGGAAGCAGGCTCTGGGTCAGTATGAGTTGGGGTTGGGGGAGAAACGCATGGAATAACACAAAGGGTAAGCATCTGTGAGAAATGACTATTCTTATTCCTACAACCTCCACAGCAGGATCGGTGCCCGCTGATACGTTTTCCAGCGCCCGCCAAGGGTTTTTAGGAAGTGGATGGGGCCAGGTAGAGCTTTTGCCCAGCAAGGCTTCTGAATGGCTACTGGAGATCTGATTGGCTGTGCAGAGTCTTAAAAATGTTGCTTTTCCAATCTCTTCTTCTTCTGATCTGTCTCTGTTGAAATCATTGCTCTGTATTTCCCTCTTTCTCATCAGGAAGCAGGCTCTGGGTTAGTATGAGTTGGGGTTGGGGGAGAAATGCATGAAATAACACAAAAGGGTAAGCATCTGTGAGAAATTACCTTATTCCTACAGCCTCCACAGCAGGATCGGTGCCCGTTGATATGTTTTCCGGCGCCCGCCAAGGGTTTTTAGGAAGTGGATGGGGCCAGGTAGAGCTTTTGCCCAGCAAGGCTTCTGAATGGCTATTGGAGATCTGATTGGCTGTGCCGATTCTTTAAAATGTTGCTTTGGCCGCAGCTGCCATAACACAGCACAAGAATGTTCACTGTGCGACTGAAGTTAAGCCGTGGCAATCATTTTGCGGCTGGCTCTGTCTCCTTTGGCAGCCATTTTTGTTAGCCATTTTCTCCTTGTGCCAATCGTGCCATGTCAGAATTCCAGAGGTGCCCACAGGCTCAAAATGGTTGGGGGGCCCTGCTCGAAAGTAAAGTTTTTCAGATGCCAGAGCCAGCATCCAGTTTTAAGTCAGGCAGTAAACCACATATATCAGAAGTTTGGGAAACGCTTTCCCAGGACTGAAAGTTTCAGTGGGAAAGATTCTAAATCCTCTCTCCTGTGGAAATTAGCACTAGAAGTCTTAAATGCAGCTATATCATGCCGTAACTTGGCCCTGTTGGTTCCTTGGAATCACTGATAAAATGTCTAAATCACTGCCTCAGCATTCACTTGTTACCTACTTCGCTGAAATGGTCGGGCGACCTCTAATGGGCAGCTCAGAATCTGCGTTAAAATGTTTCTAATGAAATTAGGGAAAGCGTTTAAAAATTATTACTTGATGCTGGAGTTATTACTGCAGGTTGCTTTGAATTCTTCTTGTGGTGCAGCTAGATTTCAATAAGCAATAACATTCTTCAGTGTGTTTTATCTATTTTTTTCCCCTTGTTTTGTAGCTGGATCGGACATGTCTCATTCCTACGCAGAGATGTTGGGCTCCTGAATTCAATCAATGGCTTTGCAAGGTTTTGTTGTTGTTTTTAAAATCAGTTTGCTTTTTGCCTTCATTTTCAAAACCATCTGATGTGAGCAAGTATTCCTTCTGCACTTTGTAGTAAACTTCAAGTTTTGCACGACAGCATATTCATTTGGAAAATACCATCAGTGATTTATGTGGTCCTTTTTTGGCTTCTTTGTTTAATAAAACTGAAGGTTTTGTTCTTCATCAATATCAAATGCAGCTTATTTTCCAAGCCAAATAAATAAAACGTCCTGTAATGGATTCATGTTTCCAAAGTACAACGAATTTCTGTTAGAATATTTTTAAAGGCCATTCATCTTCAAAGCAACTTTTAAACCAGCTTGTAGCTCTTTTCCTTGCCGTTCTAGATTTACAACACACAACGTGCTGTTGAATACATGAAATTTCAAATGACTTTCAACATAAAAATGCAAGTGAACATTTTGTAATAATTTTGTTATGAATAATACTTGTCAGGTTGCACCATCCTGTGAATTCTATTGCAGACTAATCTATTAGATGCTGGAAAATATCTGAAAATGGTTTTTACCTCTTCTTTGATTCCTACAATAGATCTTAAACTAGTGAACCTTTCCCCCCAGTTCACTGTGCATCATTTTGTTGCTTTGGATACTTTAGGAAATAATATCATATGAATTATTGGAGAAGACTTAAATAATCGAACAATGACAACGTTAGCGCTGCATGTAAAAACATGAATTGTATTTATTACGTAAAGCAATATTTTCTCCAAAATCAAATATCCAGAAGAAAAACATGGCTGGAGCATCTCAAATCTATATTTTCTTTGGTGCACCTGTCCTTTCAACTTCACCAAAGGCAGCTAATGAAGAGAATTTTTTATCCGCCACCACTGAACCATGGAGAAAGCTCCATCTTTCATTGACGAAAGACAACTTTGACCTTTGTGCTAGAAAATGCAGAGGTCCCAAATGTACAGAGTATTGTACAACCAATGATGCAACATTGGCTTCCTACACCAAAAGTAATTTCACAGCAAACTTTGAAAAGAAATGTGGGTTGGTTGACAGTTTTTTGATGGACCATGTGAATGATGGTATGAACAATAAAACTAAGGAGACCAGTGAGTCATCTGGCAGTGCTTCTTATGTCTATGGAGATATAAATACAGACAAACATGCAAAGCATCTTAGGCATCAGCAGTTTCCCAATGATGGAAGAACAGATGAGCAACATATCAAACTCTTGGAAAAGACTGCAGGAGATACCATGATACATAACCCCATTGACATTTCTCCTTTGGTTTCTGGTCCCCAAAAGATTAGCAGAGGTGTGACATCTGTGTGGCAGGATGATGAGCTATCACACTTCCAGTGTGATAGTGAGAAGCTGCAGGAAATATGCTGCCCTGACATAACACATGAATCTAAGAAACGTCTGGATCCAAATTCAAGGCTTGCCTTATCAACAGACACTGAATTTCTTAGTATTCTGACCTCAAGTCAAGTTGCTCTCCTTTCAAGAAGGCCTGCCGTAGGACAAAATGAAATGGAAAATGATTCTACAAAGGTTACGGGTGTGGGATTGGGTGGGTCTTGTAAGGAGAGTGGAGAAGAGGCAAATCTCCATCAAGACGACAAAAGCTCTCCTGAACTCTTCAGTTTGGATAGCTCTTCAAAAGATAGCAGGCTAACATATTTGACAAAAGAAAATAGCTTTCAGAGAAATGCTAGTGAATCGACTGGCCTCTCACGTTCTGCCGGTGACAGTCCTAATAATGAGATACACATTCAGCCGTGGAAGAGTGGGATACTGTGTTCTCAAGGGGGCAACTCCCCAAAAGAATCCTCAAAAAGATCTCGAGCATCTGAAGACGGCCTGCCTGCGACTAACTTTGCCACTGCAGGCCAGCAGCTATCCAAGAAAACGAAGCTGGTTTACTCTTCAGTTTGCCCTGTTCTACAAACGGAGCAACTGAAAATATCGTCGTTGAAGAAACTTCGGAAGCATCCATCGTTGCTTAAAGACTGTGCCTGCAAAGGCCAGAAGTATAATGTCTTAGTCACAGTGCTACATCCTTGCCATATCAAAGAAGTACAAATGAGGTCAGGAACGACATTATCCCCTAAAGTCCCCTTAGCTACTCTCGTAGTATTCGATCAGTCAGAAATCCAACGGAAGGTGGTACTGTGGAGAGCGGCTGCGTTCTGGTCACTTACGGTATTTCCTGGAGATATCATTCTACTCACAGGTGAGGAATCTTTGTTCCTTTCAGGGTATACTTATTTGTCAAACTGTTTTGTTCTTCTCCACAACAGCTGTACTTTAGACCTTCAGTAATCCGCTGTTGTTTGAAGAAAATCAAGTCACAGTCTTTGAGAAAACTGAGGTTGAGTCACAGATGTTTGCTTTTGGGTACTTGACGTTCTACATGGAATATCCCTATGGATGCAGTTGAGATGAGGAAATAAAGCCCTGATCCAGCATTGCCTTACCGGTATGGGCCACTTCCCATTGGCAGATTCACATGAGCCGGGCATCGCATTGTGTAGCTACCAGGAAAGGGTGTCTTCCAGTTGCTGTATCAACTCGTATACAACATCTTTCATGGGGACTCCACATGACAGATTTCATAGATGATGCTTTGGCCCATACACATTATGGGCCAAGCTGTGTAGTCTAAATTCCTCCACATAGAACCTTCCGCAATAGTGCAGCTGTGTTTCTAAATCACCCTGTCTTGAATGTATGTATACAGTACGGGCAGGTAGAAAATCAGACCTGTTTCCAGAGAAGGAATGTAAGTGAGGTTCCCATCCTTTTGGGCAGTTAAGATTTGCAATGTGTGTGGAATAGCCAGCAACCCTTTACAGTTAACCCAAGCCCTAGTACTAGTGATTTTTGTATAGTTTTCTCTGCTTAGAAGATACATCTAGTTTCATTTGGTTTCAACGGTGGTTTAATTCAAGATAGGTTTGAGTCCAGTAGCCCCTTTAAAGACCAAGAAGCTTTCCAGGGTATTTGTTTGTTTGAAATTTTAGCTCCCCCTCCCCTGCAGGCTGTGGAAGGTCGGTAGTTTAGCAGTTCGAGACCCGAGTGTGCCGCATGACGGAGTGAGCTCCCGTCTCTAGTTCCAGCTCCTGCCAACCTAGCAGTTCGAAAGCAAGAAATTGCAAGTAGATAGTGGGAAGGTAACAGCGTTCCGTGCGCCTTGGTGTTTAGTCATGCCCAGTACGGGCAGGTAGAAAAACAGACCTGTTTCCAGAGAGGGAATGTAAGTGAGGTTCCCATCCTTTTGGGCAGTTAAGATTTGCAATGTGTGTGGAATAGCCAGCAACCCTTTACAGTTAACCCAAGCCCTAGTACTAGTGATTTTTGTATAGTTTTCTCTGCTTAGAAGATACATCTAGTTTCATTTGGTTTCAACGGTGGTTTAATTCAAGATAGGTTTGAGTCCAGTAGCCCCTTTAAAGACCAAGAAGCTTTCCAGGGTATTTGTTTGTTTGAAATTTTAGCTCCCCCTCCCCTGCAGGCTGTGGAAGGTCGGTAGTTTAGCAGTTCGAGACCCGAGTGTGCCGCATGACGGAGTGAGCTCCCGTCTCTAGTTCCAGCTCCTGCCAACCTAGCAGTTCGAAAGCAAGAAATTGCAAGTAGATAGTGGGAAGGTAACAGCGTTCCGTGCGCCTTGGTGTTTAGTCATGCCGCCACATGACCACGGAAACGTCTTCAGACAGCGCTGGCTCTTCGGCTTGGAAATGGAGATGAGCACCGCAACCCTAGAGTTGGAGTTGACTGGCTTTCGAGCAAGGGAACCTTTACCTTTTACCCCTGCATAGCAAGGCTCAGGGCAGGTAACAACTAGTTAAAAAACGTTTCGTAGATTAATTGTTAAAAACATATTAACACAACAACAAATCAGATTTTAAAATCAGATGGCGACTTAGGCACTAATAAAAATTATCCAAAATGAGGTTGTGCCCATCTGTGTGTCAGTGGAGACTGGTACAGTGACAAAGTAGATGGCAGAGAGGTGTTTGGTGACTGGGGGAGGCCAGTTTAGATGGAAACTTCTCTGCCTCAGCCGTATCCCTGGTGAAACATTTCTGTTTTACAGGCCCTGTGGAACTGAGTCAGATTCTGCAGGGCCCGGATCTCATCTGGAAGGGTGTTCCACCAAGCCAGGGCCAGAGCCAAAAAGGCTAGACAAACAGTTTTTGGGCCGCGGACCACCAGAAGATTATTATTCATAGAATGCAATGCTCTCTGGGGGGAATACGGTACCAGGGGTCATTTCCTACAGGAGCGCACAGAAGCAGAGCTCCGGCAGTAAAAAGCCCAGGGGGCGGGCACATGCAACAAGCCCCACCCCCTCAGTCAGAGCAAGAAGCAGCCAGGTAAGCTGCAGAGCGCCCCCCCCGGTCCCCTGGT